TGTTTTGTACCTTTGTAATACACTGATAACCACCAAATGCAGGTGGTGATGAGAAAGTCACATGATGAACCAAAGCCTGTCACAAGCAGCTTTTAAATAATAACATATATTGAAGGTGCACACAGGGCCGCATTAAGACCGCACTGGGCCCCGGGGCTATGACCGGGGCAGGGCCCCCCATCACAATAATTATATATATATACAGTATATATATATAGAGAGAGAGAGAGAGAGAGAGAGATGACGGACGGACGGACGGACAGATAGATAGATAGATAGATAGATAGATAGATAGAATGATGGACGGACGGACGGACGGACGGACGGACGAGACAGATAGAATGATGGATGGACGGACGGACGGACAGACAGATAGATAGAATGATGGACAGACGGATAGATAGATAGATAGATAGAATGACGGACGGATAGATAGATAGATGGATGGATGGATGGACGGACGGACGGACGGACGGACGGATAGATAGATAGATAAATAGAATGATGGACGGACGGACAGACGGACGGACGGACGGATAGATAGATAGATAGATAGATAGACTAGATGGATAGATAGATAGATAGATAGATAGATAGATAGATAGATAGATAGATAGATTAGAAAATCACTTTGAGAGTTAATTAGGTCAGACTTGATTTCATGGGGCTGAAATTCTGTAAACAATGTGTGTATATTAATTGATTCATGTGGCACCAATGTACATAATTGAATCATATTAAGTCAAATACACATTTTTGATGGATGGATGGATGGATGGATGGACGGACGGATAGATAGATAGAAATAAGTGTATTTTTATTTATATATAATTTAATATTTAAATCATTTTATACACAACTATTTTATGTATATTTTATATATAATATAATAAATACTTATTTTATTAAATATTAGTGTGTGTGTGTGTGTGTGAGTTGAGTCTGACTTCGTCTAATGTTCCTTCTGTGTTTTTCTTTTTCTCATATGGGTGAGTGTGGGAACGGTCTGTGCTCAGCACTTTGGCTGCAGCGTGGGCATCTCCTCCTGTCTGCTAAAATGCCATAACCATTGTTGTAAGGAATGTCAAGTGATAAAATAATCCATGACCTTTTGCTCTCTTCTACAATAGACTCCAGAACGGGAGAAAACAGAATAGTCTGGCTGCTTTATACTGGAGGTTTTCATCACTGTTATTTTTGCTCATACTTAGTTTTAGGAGTTTGTTCAATTACCCTAAGCACTTTAGCAAGTCAAGTCACCTTTATTTCTATAGCACTTCATACAATACAGAATGTTTCAAAGCAGCTTCATGGTGATAAACAGGAAAAAAGCAGAATCAATGATGGAAACTTTATCAAATATGAGACAAATTCAAATTCAGCAGTAAAGCAGCGCTAAAAAAAGACAGTAGTGTTATTATTTAATTCTCATCCAGTAGTGTCAATGCTATCAAATCCATATTATTTCTTAAGTATTAAGTATCTTAGAGTGCATGTGACATTTTGTGAATGAATTATTAATTTTTACTTATTTACATATTATTGATGAACTATAAAGCATTTGAGATCCAAGACTCAAGGTCTAATATTTGCACTGCAAAAATGATTTTCTTCCTCAGTATTTTTGTCTTGTTGTCCAGTACAAACATCTAAACACATTTAAATTCAAGGTACATTTACTTGAGAAGAGAAAACAAGGTATTTATTATTTCTTATGCCATCAGCTGACATTTACTTAAAGCCTTTATATACAATGCATTATAAAAGTAGTTTTGATGAATTAACTGTGCCTTGTAATGCATTATATGATCTCACGAATAATTGAAACCTCATTTATAATATTTCATAATTCTTATCTATTCATTTAGAAAGTATAATGCATTAAAACACATGACAAACAAACCTTTACATATTATAATGCAATTTAACTACAATTATTTATGAAAAGATATAATGCACTACAACATAGTGTACATTAGGAATACCTTTATAATGCATTAAGCACAAAGGCGTTAAGTAAAGTGTTACAGATATTTTTTCTTGTTTAGAGCATAAAAACAAGACTCCTGTCATTTTGCTTCTCATGTAAATGTATATT